AGGACCATCGATATGATGTGTGCAATCTTAAGTACTAGTCTCTTAGAAAGGTGCCTTGTTTTTTTAATGCTGGAAAGAAAGCTTTAGGTACTGAACTTGTAAATTGCTGGTTAGTTTCAGCTTACAACCCCGATCGTTTCGTTGTTTAAATTTCTGTTTACTTGGTTAAGAGAAAGAGAGAAAGAAAGCACAATCGCAAATGCCTATTGTTACAAGGAATTTTGAAGAACATTTGTGCTAAGCCAGTTCCTTACTGGCGTATGTAGTTTTTACTCCACCTACATAAGTCTACATCCATTCAGTAAAACGTTCAAGTCAATTTACGATGACAGGAGATTGATTCATAGTGGCCATCAGGCCCATTTACATAACCATCATAACCATCTCCAATACCATTTTCAACTCCATCTACAAAATCCTCATTTTCCTTGCAAAGCCACTTTATCATCCTCAATAATGAAATAAATGCTCTCGCCATTTCCGTAATTTTCCTTCCTTCTTGTACCCTTAAATTAAGTACTAACAATTCCACGTTAAGACTGATGGCTTCGCTGCACAGAAATATTTACTCAGTCTTATCAAATAGTTTAATGTTCTATTTGTTGAAAACGATGACTTCTGCATCCACAATTCTAACAGATTTTCAGTTTTAGTTGAATTCCTTTTAAATTTCATTAGTTCTCAAATGGCGATCAATATTGTGGGAACAAACTTCATTTAGTGAGTTCCCAAAAGGAGAACGAAACAATAAAAGAAATAAATTTCCATTCACCTGTCACCTCAAAAAGTAGGGGATCTAGAAATCGGAGGAAATCTACATGCCCTGAATCAAGAATATGTTGATTCTACACTGAATATACAACCAGTGTGCGAGAATTGAAAATTATAAAGGTTCTCTCTATTTTGAATTGCAACCTTGAACTAAACTCAAAGGATTACTTTAAAATTTTTTGAACCTTGAAAAATTGAACCTATGGCAATGTCACCTACGTTCGTTTAAGAGCGCTTCGTCAACTCTTAAACGAAAAACAAGCGAAATCTTGCAGGGAACGTTTCATAAGAAAGTTGAAAAGGATGTTGAGGGAAAAGCGGAGGAGACAGGAACAAGACGTGCAATCGGAGGAGAGAAAGGAGACGATACGTGAACAAACGCGGGAAAGAGTTAGACGGCTAAGAGAAAAGAGAAGAGAAGAGTTGCGACAAGCCGGAAATGATACCGCACATTCCGAAGGAAGTACGTCTGATACCACACCTGTATTCAAAAGTAGGATGGCAAAATCCCGTGCGTTGAAGAAAACAGGTCAAGCCCTACCAGAAACGCCGGAAAAGAAGGCAGAGCTTTTGGAATCAATTTCCTCAAGTCCCCGTAAGAGGAAAATTTTGACTAAATAAGGACTCGTGAAAACCCCCGAAGAATTGTCCTTGTTTTCAAGGACTGTATGAAATTCAGAAAAACTTTGACCAATAAATCTGGCGTAACAGTTTTTATTCCATCTCGTCTGACAGAAGCCGTTGATCTAACTTTATGTCAGTGGAACGACGGCCAGGAGTACCACAAGCTCAAGTGCCTGAAGCGAGAATGCGATCAGTGGGGTGTTGAAAAGTTCCCTTTTCTTCCCGAAGAGATATCTGATGAGGTTGAAGAGCATGTAATTTGGAAGCGCTATGAGTATGTGGGCACTAAAAAGTAACTGACAAATGGTCTGGAAATGAAGAAAATTGCTCTAGTAACTAAGCAAACAAAGCCAAAAGAGCTGTTCTCTTATTTTCAAAGTCTTCTCCAGGATTACTCCTACCACTCCTTCATGGCCAAATGGCAGCAGAATCAATTGGATAGCCTGATAGAGAACCTGCCCAAGGATGAAGTAATACATGTCCACGACTACTCGAAGGGATACAGTTGCAGGCAACAGGATGAGCTGCAGTCAGAATACTTCGATGTAGCAAAAGTGTCTCTGCATGTCATCATTCTGTACCGACATGCTGTGGAACCTGTAGATGGTAATTTCAGCACTGACGAGGAGCCAACTATCATTAAAAAGCACTTGTTTGTAATATCGGACGATGAAGTTCAAGACTTCCATTCTGTTCACAAGGCCTAGGAACTTATAAACGGATATCTTGAGGGTCAATTGAAGTTGAAGATCAAAAAGTTGCATGAGTTCACAGATGAGTGCGCTGCTCAGTACACCCATGCCAAAGGTGAATAAAATGCTGCGGGGTCAAATGTAAAGCAGAAAGTAAGTCACGCAGTTCTCCGAAAAACTACGACCACTAAGGATGCAAAAGATATGAGAAAGTACCTGGTGGACAACTTTTCCACACTCTATTCTTCAACGTTTGCTTCAGGCACAAAGGCCTTTAGGATGACACACAGAGTATTCTTCTATGTTCCTTCAAGTGGTGACGGCGCTGTAAATAGAAAACGCCCCGACAAAATATTCAAGGAACTAAAAGGGATCAAAAAACTGCAGTGTGAACACTACAGCAGAGCAAGGGCGAGTATTTGTAAGGGACCGTTCATGTTACTGCATTGGGTGCATCACAGGGGCAGAGGAGACCTGTAACAATAAGGAGAGGTTAGAGGACTGGAGGGAGATAAAGATCGAGCGAGATTCAACTGTTGCTACAACAAGACAAGCTGTGGACACAATGGAAGCTACACTTCGTGACACTGCTGCTGTAGACACTTTCCTAGGGGGATCTGTAGTCTTGAAAGGGCACTTCTTCAACAAGGAAGGAAATAAGCGCTATTAAAAGTCACGCCGAAGAACAATACGTTAGCGCCCTAGTGCGCTTCCATCAGCGTAGACTTGTTAGTCACAAGAACAAACTTGAAAAGGCTAATATTGCCAAGTCTCGATCACAATACAATGTAAATACACGTGAAAGATCACGTTCGCCCTTGAGGAACACTGTAAATACTGATGCCGACAGAATAGACAAAATAGAAAATCAGCTTTCAGAGCTGAAAGATCTTATATGTACACGCTTTCAGAGTGATAATAAACATGTTGAAAAGTACAACAGTGTCATCTCTGAAAAATCAGTCGCCAAACCCACTGCAGCAAAAAGGCTATCCAAGAATAATAAACGCAAAAAGCGTAGAAAAAAATACACTACACAAGCGAGTGACTACAGAAAGGGAGAAAAATGAAAAATACCTTAAAAACCCTTCAGACAATACATTAACTGATCACCAAGTCAGCGTGTTAGCAAAAGGGCTTAAATTTATTGAAACACCCGTGACAAATGAAAATAAGATCAGGCAACAATTGTTGCGTGACTTCGAACAATTCGCTAGGCGAATGAGACTTAGATATATATTCCACGGGAATGACAAGGAACCACATCCTTTCCACGTCAAATCAAACTGGATACCACCAGTACAACCTTCTAAAACTTCGGAAACATTATAGCATCTCTTTAGAATTTTTTATTAACCTTGTGTATAACTTTTGTAGCATCTTTGCAATGAAATCCATAAAAAACAATAAGTAGGTAAGAGAATTGTGATTGTGCCACACCCGCAAAGCATCATGGGTAGTAACAAATTAAGCTGTAAATGCAAATAGATATGAACATGATTTGAAAATGTTATTCTGTTGATATGCAATAGAAAAATAGTATTTTGAGGGTAGTTGGGAAATTTTTGCTGAAATGGCCTAGTGTTACACCAATGTACATGGTGATTGTGCTAAAGGTCAATACATTAAAGAGATCACTAAATCAAGGAAGTCTTGCCAGCCAGTACAAGCAACTATACCTACATGTTCTATTTGTCAAAAACCTATCAATAAAACAACTAAGGATACTGCTACACCATTTCTGAAGTAAGAATGCCAAGAATCAGCAATACATTCAATACTTCACGAAAATCAGACCAGAGAAGGAAAAGAGGATTTAGAGAATGACCAAAACAGAAACAAACAACCCTTGTTTTGCAAGACTTACAGGAGATCACAAACTTGTCACAACTTGCAAAGTGAGAGAAAACCAATGAAAGACCAAACCCAAACACACTGCATTTACTTCCCTTTAAGAAATGGTACTTTGTGAAGAATCTCCTTTTTTTTCAATGAGGTGGGGGAAGGGGGGCCTACTTTTTAACAATGGCACAATTTCTACCATCAATAGAGATGTATGGCATTTTGCAGGACAGCATCTAAACCATGCAACCTCCTTCCCATTGGATGTAATTTTTGTTCTGTCAGAATGAGTCAACGTCAGTTAGATCAAGGTCAAATTCAAATGAGTGGAAATTTCATCCTTCTTTTCTCTACTGTCATAACACTCATAAACATATCTACAGCTATGAATAGTTATTCTTTGAGATATACTGATGATTTCATTTAATCAGGGAATATGAACATTTCCTTTAATTTATTATGTTCTTTACATCTACTGTATCACACAAGAACCCATCATTTCTCAACAAAGTACACAAAGTGATGTTAACAATTGTAAAGCTATTTATAAATGGATTTGAACCTTATTTAAGCTGTGCACATACAATTTAATTGTTTTCTTTTTCAGTGGCAAATAAATGTTAATAATAATAATAATAATAATACATAATATTTACAATAATCATAACATCACTGAGATTTTAAATTGCTAAAACCTTTAGTTTTAATGAGCCATTTTCCATATGATTTATTTAGGGCACTTTCCCCTTCCACAGCACCATGTACCTAAGGAAAGGATATTCAAGCAGGTAATACTGCTGTGTAAACAAGAGAGAATAAAATCAAATGAGAGAAGCAAACAAAAGTAATCAGGATGGTACACACCCACTGTTTGTGTACTGTGATGTTATCACCAGCAGATGTCTGCCTGCTTAAGGCCAGGATGACAAATATTTCATTGTCTTTCATCAGTTACGTTTTAGACCTCAAAACAACTGTCTTTTCTGATGCAAAGTCCTCCATTTGTGGCCCAAGAAGCATTATTCTAAGCTTTGTAGCCTCACCCCTTGGTAAATAGCAGAGAACTAAAAATTACTTTGCACAAGGAAAGTACATATGGAATGTACAATTCTGTGGATCTGCTAGAGTATTGCACTCCTTGTAATCTATTTGCATTTACTGATGTTAAATCTATTGGGGATGAAATCAGTGTTTATTTGTCCAAATTGGCTGGCACTGTCATTCAATCATACAAAAATGTAAAAGGAAGAGCCGGAAAAGAATTGGATGAAAAAGTGAAAAAAAATTTTAAGCATGAGGGCCAGGTTTAATCTGAAAAGTGAAGCAGTGTCAAGATGACCTTTAAAATTGTGCCACATGGACCCTCTACAAGGAAAATACATTGGTGCTTAAGTGAGTTCTGTGAAATCCTTATTTCAAGAATACATTCAAGAATATATCGACCAGAATACCTCCTTACATAAAAATGATGGATTACACCATACATGCACATCATGGTTACTCACAACCCCAAATGTTGGGAGTTCTACAAGTCTGTGAAGATTTTTACTGGCCAGGTGGTGTAGAGAAACAATGATGTGGCTCGCAGTGTAATCCTGGGAAAGTCCATCAAATGGGACTCTGCTGGAGATGTTCTTCAACAATAGCAAAAGCTGTGAAATCATGAGAGAGAGAGGCTCATGCTTATGAAAAGAGAAACTACACTTAATGGGATGAGAACATTAAAGAAAGCAGACAAAAAAGGCATACAAGTCACTCTTACTGGCAATCAAGTGAAGCTACCCTTTCAAAATCCACAAGCCCTGATAATCCTGAAGTCTTCAAAAATGACAATAAAAGAATTGAAGGCTGAACTGAAAAGGAGAAATGCCCAGGGATTCAGTCAGAAAAACAAATCTGAGCTTTTAAAACAACTAAAGGAGATTTGCCAAGAAGAACATATAGGTAAATCAGTATGCAATGAACATGGTGTGATGAGTATTCCCATTTGTATTGAGCCAAAGTGGGCCATACAACTTGAGTTATTCTGGCTTATACAGCACTAAGCCATAAAAATTATTTCTATCTCCCTTTGGCATTTTGGACTTTGCAAATGGTATGCAAGTCTATCAAAGTGTTGGTCTCTGCATGAAATTTGCAGATACCCAATAAATAATTGTAAAAAAGCTTGAATGTGCAGTAAACTAAATGATATAAACAACAAGTGCAAAATTATTGCCTAGGAGAGCCTTTATGTTTATAAAAAAATAAGTATTTACTCTTTTTTTTTTGGATTTTCAGCAAAGTTTGCTAACATGTTAATAATCCAATTTTTTATCAGTTAATCTCAAGTAACCAATACTTTTGAGGCTTTTACCTCAAGTTTTGCTATTTCTCACTTATTTTGTCTTATAAGTTTTATCTATCAGGAAAGTCCTGAGTTTCTGTGATGCTTTATATTTCTGAAAAGCCCTTTTCATACATTTTAAAATTAGATATTTTAGATTATATTGCTGTATATATTTGTTGAGATATGAATTTAAAGATGAATGTGGACAATTTTTGCAATTTTTTTTTTGGGTGCAAGGGATAGGTTAAGCCAAATATCTCTTTCTGCTAAAGCTGACCCCATTCTTTGGTACCACTATGTCAAGAACAAGGTTTCTTTAGGCTCTACATTATCTTCACTTTGCTGATAATTCCTTAGCTCCTAGGCCTGATTCACCAAATTTCAACAAGTTGTACAAAATTCTGCATCTGCTGGATTTGATCATACCAAGGTTTAGGGCAGTTTACAGTCCTGAAAGGCAACTTGCTGTCGATGAAACCTTGATCAAATTAAAAAGGGAAAGTTCATTTAGGGCAATTCGTTCCCATAAAACCAAGTAGGTTTGGAATCAAGGCCTTTACAATGGCTGAATCAACCAATGGCTATGTTGTAGGGAGCAACACATACACTCAAAAGGAAGCCAATGTAGTCCAGAAGGGGAGAGTCCCTTTATAGACAAAAAGATACTTAGACTTGCATGACATGGCATGACAGAAAGCCTATCAGTTTCTTAGGCACTGTACCCACATGTAAAGATGAATCTGGTGTTGTGGAAAGATCCATGAAAGTAAATGGCCACTGGGTGAAGCAAAACTTTGCCAGCTATGGTATAGTTAGCCTGTATAATGCTTACATGGGTGGTGTTGATGTCTCTGATCAGAGAATTAGCTCATATGCAAGGCTAATGAGAGGTGCTGCACAGTATTACAAGATTTTTATTCTATCTCATAGAAATATGTATTTCAAATGCGCACATTTTGGAAAGAAAATCTCCAAATCATACCACCACAACCACTTTAGCCTTCAGAAAGTCATTGATAAGTGACTTGATTGAAGGAAAATCCTTCAGGAGGGACACTCAAATGCAGCAGCCATCTACTTCTGACATTTGATTTAATCAAGAACACTTTCACCACCTTGACAAAAGCAGTGACAAAAAATCCACTTGCAAGGTTCACCTACAGCATGTAGATACCTTTGACAGCTGTGCAGTGTGTGGAGTACACATGTGCCTGGAGCCCTGTTTTCTCAGATATCACACATTGAAAGACTGCTATTTAAGTGATGAAGATAATGAAGGCCCCTGACATCTGAAAGAAGGAAGAGGAAGAGTTGCACCAGAGGAAGAGGAGGAATTCTTCAAAATTGAACACGTAAAGACAAACATGAAGGTGGAAGTGAAGTAACCAAGGCAAAGTGATATACAAGACAATGAGAGTGACTAACTCTAAGACTTTCTCAAAGATAATACTTCAAGATTTTGTTCCTCATAAGATAATTCCTGCCCTTGCAATAACATTAATTACTCAAATTTGTGTGCAGAGAAGTGTTATTAACCTTTAAAATGATATTTTCAATGTTTGAAGTTCATGATTTTTGTTTAAAACTAATAGTTCTAAAATATATTCGTCACAGGGTTCTTTCAATTAATCCCGCTCAAAATTTCCAATAATTATACTGATTATGCATGTTGTGACGTCATCATATAATATACATCCCATAATAAGTTAAACTAATTGATAGGAAATTTTCTAATGATTATGAATAGATACATTGTCATGTGAGGCATTATTAAAAACCAGTTCCTTCTTTCTCTGCACATTTTGCTGAATTTATAGCCTCGAGCGCTTGAGCCCGCTTTATTAAATAGCATTTCGCTATTTAGCTTTGCCATGAAAATGGCTACCCATTAGTTGTAAAGGCGGAATGTGCAAATTGGTTTGCATGCATACCAGTCGAGTAAAAATACACCTACGCACTTTGGACCCTAAAAAAGGGGAGTGCTCATCTTGTAAAAGGTTTTGAGACACTTAACAAGCTAGATTTCGAAAGGTCGGATGATACAGTTTTACTGATGGTTCAGATGTAGCAAAATTCTTTCATATTTGGAGACCATACCTTTGCCTACTGCCGAGAGCGTCCAGTTTACTTCGTTTTGCATCTTCAGCCATTTCCACGCAGATCACTACACAGAATCAAAAAGATGAAAACAAAGTAATGAATTCAAGCCTTAGGAAGCATAACTATCAAAGAAGAGGGAAAATTAATGGAAAAATGCACGTAACAAGCTATGAAATTACCGAACGTGAATCATCAAAGAGACGCCTACCGAAGCACATGGTATCTTCGCAAGTTTCGCGTTGCCGTTCTTGATCTGGCACTTGGGTATGCACAGTCGCTCCTTACGGTGACTAACCATCTCTTCTGTTTTCTACGACTAGTTGGGAAATTAACATCGTTCTATTAAGTTTGCAACCAAAAAAACGATAACTTTCACGACATGACGCTTTGGGCTAGACCTTCGAAGACCGCAGCATGTCATGTGACAATTGACAGGAGCCTGCTTTAATTTTGGTCAGTGTCAAAATAATAGTCACGCAATCTTATGTCACCAGCCATAGAATTAGAAGGGGTACAGTCGAATGACTCGAACCCTCGCTATCTCGAACCTCGTGCTAACTCGAACCAAAGCCGATTCGCCCGTCATGCATTTACTGAAAATTTACCCTCGACAACTCGAACTTCCCGTGAACTCGAAGCAATTTTCGTATCCTTTCAGGGGATGCTCTCTACATATATTACCCTCGATAACTCGAACCACGTCCAACCTCCTCTGTCAATACGTGACTGAAACAAAACAAACAATGTAATACAGATTGTGTGAAAAGAAAAAACAATAAACACTAGTTTTTTTCCCCTTATTTCTGGTCCTTTTCTTTCACTCCCGATAACTCGTACCCTTTTTAATTTCCACTGAAGGTTCAAGTTATAGAGATTCGACTGTACTTCTTAATAACAGGCCACGGGGTTGGGTCGCTGAATGGTGTCACATTTTCACGACTGGATTGATTGTAATGGGCTGCATCTTTGATAGAGTCACCAGAATATGATGGCCGCATTCATTTTTGGGGATTTTGGGTTATGAAAAATTTGGTACGTATAGGGATTTAAAAATGGGAATCCCTTTGTTTAACTTCCCGACATGCGAGCGTCAGAATGTTCGCGCACTATTAATGAAGAAAGTGACCAAGATGGATCAGCGAAAATTACGTATGTCCAAGAGTGACAAGGGGTACTGAGAGGTCAGCGGCAAATGCTGAGCAAAAATTAACCCAAGTACCCCCTCCTCCTCGGGGTTCTTAAGGTGATATTATGTTTTTGGGTGTAAGCTTATGAATTAGGTGCCATTTATACGCGATGATGAAAGGTCTATCGTCTGTACTTTTAATTAGTGGCATGGTAAACAAGACGACAAATGGTATGTACCCCTGTCAAGTAACCATCTACGGGCAATAGAAAATTGTCCTTATGCAACACAAAGAAATAAGGTTTCGTGAAAGTGAACCTAGACAGAGAGACATTTTTTTCCTTAATTTGATTCAGGGATTATCGTGGGATTTCTGTTAATTCCCTTAGATCTAAACCTGGATTTCGCACGACTCAGTAAAGTTAATTTAAGCCGTCGTTTTCTAGAGAAAGCGGATTTTGTATAATTATTTTCCTTTAACTGTATTTGTTTATGTTTGAAGACACATGTACAAGACTACATGTAAACTACGCAGGGACAGAATCTTTAAAAACAATTTCCAAAACTGCGTGGTAAAAAATATCCGGAGGTGAACTTCCTGCAGAATTCAGGTTTTGCCAGCAGCGAGGAAACTACGTGCGTCAGCTCCAATTTCCTTGACTGAAAAAAAATTGTATTAAAAATTAAAAGGAGCGATTTTTTTCTTACCCCAAGAGAAGCACAGCTGGTCGCGTGCGCTAATTTAAGTTCATAAATTTTAATCTTTAAAACGTTTAATACTGATGAACGATTACTATAAATTATAATTTTATTTCATACTATTGTCCCCTCTACTTTCATGCACGACAAAGGCTACTTAAGTTTTACAACACTGGAAGAATTAACAATAAAAACATCTGTGATCAATGATTTTTTCCGGTGATAATAAAAAAAGAGGTTACAAAGGTTTAATTTACAAGTTAATTACAATCAGGCCTTTCTGACGACTGTGAACCCGTTTTGAACCTATCAGTTACATGATATATTAAAGGTTTTATTATCGATTCATATTTATGCGACGTCTTCAATATCAAAGGATGTAAACAAATATTCATTATACTGTTTCATATGCCTGTTGTTGGTTTGAAAGATCTTTTCATAGTTGTCCTGAGGAACATCACTTTTGCGTCATCAGAACTTACGTACCAGAAGGAAGTTAAAAATTGATAAAGATCTAGGGTGGATCCATTAGTTACACAAACGGGTTCGGTAAAGGCGGGCACGTTTAAACAAACGTGGCACGCATTAAAATTTTCTGGTCAAAAATAAGAAACACTCAGTGGCATTTACAGGTTAATATCACTCGTTCCACAAGAAAAAAAATATGCGAAATACTGGGTCGGAATTTAAAGTCGTGGAAGCGACGAGCTCAAGATATCCAAATTCCAACTGCAATTCTGAGACCTGTACACTTCCTTTAAATAACATTACAAATTGTCTGTAAGACCCGTGAATGGACTGTTCTTATCTCTCGCAAACATTTGTTAATGAAGTTCGGCTGGTCTTAGTAAAACAAAGCCGACCATTTATTGTAGCTTTTACTCTAAAGCTGATTGGACATCTCATCGCGAGTTACTTTGTTATTCAAATCATGAGCTTAAATGCTTGTCGCTTTGCTTTTCGTACGAGTAATGAATTAATAACGCCAAAAAAACGAACCTCAATCGTTGCAAATTGCCTCTTTTGCAAAGTACTTCGAGATTTTTTCAACTCAACCAAGTCACAGATATTGGACTCGTATTGGTTTTTGCGTAGAAAGGCACTTTCGGGGGCAGTCGCAGTCTGACTGTTGCTACATTATAAGCACTGTACCCTGCTCGCGAGTCGTGAGTAAATTCATCGAAAAACAGCTTGAAATGAATACGTTAACCGAGTGACATTCCGTTTCCGTGCGACTCAAACATGGCCGAGGAACTGCAGCGAGTCGATTCTAATCTCAAGCCGAGCGAACTGAAGGCGGCATTCAAGCGAAGCCGGGACATCGATGCGCTGTTGGACAAGGAAAGAGAATTGAAAGAGAAAGAAGTACAGCTGTTGATTTTGGGTAAGAATACCGCAGATCTTACAAATTCCTGGGTTGCCATTTCGGCCTCATATAGAGCGGGATGAATATTTATTTCTAGAACTTTTCAAGCATACAACCCTCGCTCGTATTTTGCCAAACCAGCAAATCAAAACACGTTCGCCGCCGCCACTACACCAAGAATTGTCCACCTTAGGAAGTAAAAATCCCTAACTCTCTGTGTACATTTGCTAAAATGTTTTTAATTTTTCCTTACGTTCTTAAATAAACAACAACCCAAAAATTTCTCTATGGCAAATAAAACCCTCTTAGATAATCAAATTCGCCGCCGAAAGATAGTCCGTAAATATGCAATCAAACATATATAATCCTGAAAAACTTGATGTATTATGAAGATTGTGTTTCACTATCGAAGATGCAGATATGATGATTAAGACTTATGACTTGTGCCAAATATAATCCCTCACGCGGGGTTCTTCAAGCTCTTGGAAAAGAAAGAAACGAATATAAAAGCACTTTACCTTCTAGACAAACAAACGACATTTGAGGAAATGAAAGAAATATTGGACCTACATACGTAAATTTGAACACTTCAAACTTACGTACTTTCAGCAAATTCAAATTTTACCTATATCATAAAATATGAATCAAAATGTGACCGCCAAAATATTCACACGCATGTAATCCGAAGTAATTGTACCGGCCTGTTGATGAAATCATTAATTCATTTTCATGAAACAAGAATTCGAACTTAGTATTTAGCTGAACATTTTGAGGCGAAGATCTGAAGTTCGATCCCTCATGGGGACTTAGAATTTTTTTCTTTGTTCCACTTTCGTGACAAAACATCTTTCACTATTTTGAGACAGCTTGGCAAATTGGATGTGAAATTAATTATCATGTAGACATCTGACATTATGGCCACAAAGAAAAACATGAATAAATTTTTCATCAGGAACGATTAAAAATAGATTATAAAATCCACTGAATATTGTTTATTTTCAACTTCTGTTGTTGAAAGAAATTACAAAATTGTGAACACCGAAGTTATTGACTGAATGAAATATATTTATTTCCTTTTGTTGACTGCTGAGAAACTGAAAGTCAATTTCCGTTTAGAGGCTTCAAACATATGGTCCATTATAATTTCACAATGGTTTTTGACATCAACCAAAAAAAATCATAGATATTCTTGCAT